GGAGGGGAACTCCTCCCCTCCCCTTGTTTGGTTAAGATGTTTTTTAAAGAGGGGAAGGGTTCTTCTCCCCTCCTCTTCCCTTCTAGCCTCCCCTCCAAAAGTGGGGTTTTTTGGAGGGGAGGTGAGAGATGATATTTTAATTCCTTATATGCCCTTTCGATTTGTTAACCTCTAATCAGTCATAAACATTTTTACATAAGAGAGTTCTTTTGAGTATCTAATAAGAGGTTATTAAGATAATTATCTCCAAAATTAGCGAGCATTTGTAAACTTTTTTTCTCTTCTTCTAATTCTAAGAGGCCGTTGGTATTTTCTTTCACCTTCAAGGTCTTTTCTCTGATTGAAATCTATCACTTGTAACTTTTTATCTTGATATTCTATAAGTGTGTGACTGTATCTTGCAAATCAAAATTAGTGAATTGTATTTTATATATATAGTTATATCTTAACAAAATAAAAAGTGAGAAAATTCATTTAAATTTTATGAGGCTAAAATAGTCAATTTTTTATTAGAACAAAATAAGGTATTATTAAAATTGCTCCCTCCCCTCCCCTCCAATCAATCCAAACAGGAGATCATTAAAATCCCTCCTCTCCCTTCCCCCTCCCTCCCCTCCCCTTTACAGCTATTCTCCCCTTTCCTCCCCTCCCCTTCCCTTGATTAAAATCCCTCCCCTCCCCTTCCCTCCGTCGAGCCAAACATAGCGTAAGGGTCTATTTGGTTTGAGGGGAGGGGGGGGAGGAGAGGGAGGGGAGGGAGGGTTTCATCCTCACCTTGTTTGGTTTGATTAAAAAGGAGGGGAGGGGAGGGTATTTAATGATCCCTTGTTTGGTTCAAGGAGGGGAGGGGAGGGATAGTAATAATCAATTTACCATTTTACCCTTACATATTAGTTTATGTTTTTTATTGATATATTATATAAATTAATTTACATCTTAATTTAAATCATATAATTTAATAAAAATTCAGTCTTATCATGTTAATATGTGTATTAAAAATTGGTACAGTAATTTTTTATTCTAATTAATATAATAATATATTTAAAATAATCAAATTAACAAATTTTATATGCTCTAAGAAAATGAAATTTTATTTTCTTTAGGCTATCTTTTTTTCCAGCTTTAAAATATATTTAATAAAAAATATATTTATAAAAAATTAATTTTATAATATTATAATTTTTTATTTAAATACTTTTTTATTTTTAAATAATTTTTATAATATATTTTTAATTATAATAATGTATATATTTTTTATTTTTTTACTTAGGATAATATATTTTTTATTTGAAATAAATATTATAATAATATATTTTATGGGTAGAAGTGGAATATTAAAAAAACTACAAGGGTATAATGGTCCAAAATTTTGGCTCCCCTCCAAAAACCCCCAATTTGGAGGGGAGCCAAAATGGGAGAGGGGAGGGGACATTTTGGCTCCCCTCCCCTCCAAAATTTTAAACCAAATGAGGGGAGGGGCTCCCCTCCCCTCTCCTCCAACCAAACACACCCTAAGTGATGCCAAAGTTAAAGTTGAGTAGTAAATAGCTCACATATGTTGTATCAAATTTATCATTATAACCATAAAAACAATAATAATAAAAACTTGACTTGATAAGATAATAAACAAATTTTTAAGAAGGCTTGAACCTATTTTTATATTGAAACAGGTCATGCGTAAAGGCGTAACACTGTTTCTATATTGAAATAGGCCATGCTTCTGTATTGAAATAGAAGCCAGGACTCCTGATAGCCAGTCATTGAATGGCAAAATTCTCTCTGCGCATTAAAAATACTATTCTTCTGGTCTTTAATATAAGACCCATTTAACTAATTTGATTAGATTAAGGAAGTTAGGTAAGTCAGTTAATTATAAGAAAAGTGACATATTTTTCCTAAAACACCATAATCATCTTTCTTAATACCCCCTCCCCCTCTTCTACTTAATTATGGTTGAGGGAGTATCCATAGGGGTAATTTAGAGAAAATTGATAAATATGAGAAATGGGTCTTATATTTAGGACCAAAACCAACTCAACAATTGGATCCTATATTAAGGACTGGAGGAGTATTAAAAATAAATATGCACCATTAAAAAAGCTAATCACAACATTAAGTGTAAAAAAAAACAAATAACTCGGTATTAACACACTCAAGTTATTGATGCAAAGCACACTTGGGAACATATAATGTAAAAAATACCACGTGTTGGGATCCACGAAGTTTAATTTGAATAACCCAAGTTATTTGATTAAACATTTGACACTTTTTTCTCAATTATCATTGGTCCTAGTCGATGTTTTTATCAAAACAATATGACATAAATCCATTAATTATTAGTAATTATTATTGAAAGGCGCATCTACCTTTCTTTATAACATTCTCCATTTCGTTTGATACAATGAAGAGTGACTAACCCTTGCTTGAATTGAGAGAAAATTAGGAGGGAAAGAAAATTAAAAAAGAAAATATGAGGAGAAACAAGTTTTTTCTTACTTGGATAGGAGAGAAAATGTGAGAGGAAAGAAAAGTATGAAAGAAAATAAAGTGGGTCCCATGCCTCATTTTCTTTTCAAATTTTCTCTTCATATATAGAGAGATTTGGAAAGAAAAACAAGAATTCCATGACTACCCCTCTCCTCTCTTCCTCTCCATATTTATTTTCTTTTATTATATTCAAAAAGTTATTCACTTTTTATTTTTTATCTTAAAATAATATTTTTATTAAATAATTTGGTTTTAAAATATGATAATATGAAAATATATATAAACCCAATAACTTGATTTTAAATTATTTGATGATGTTAATGTTAATATAATTTTTCTATTGCAGTATTTCATTTAATTTAACTTTAAATATAATATACTTTGATCAGGACATTTTGGTCATTTAGTGCTTATTTGGTTTGATGCAATGCATTAGTATTCCCAGTAATTTTGATGCAATAACCTCTTTCAAGCGTTTGGTTGGCATAGTTAGGTGGTAAAAGAGATTACAAAATACATCATGATTACTTCATACAAGGTAATAGGGATTACATCCATAATAATAAAGAATAGGGATTACACGTGTGAATCAAAAAAAGACAATATTTGCCCTTACCTTCTTAATCATCTTCATTGACCACTGCCAACCCTCCTCCACCGGTGGCCTTCCTTCTGTTGAGGACACCCCTCTGTTAACTGAACAACTTCATCTTCCCTGTTAACTTCATCATCATGAGGATGAAAATGAAAAATGAACCAATGCTAGCAAAAAGTAAAAACAGAAATATAAAAGCAAAGATCCAGGCAATGAAAATGCGACTAGAATAATCTTTACTGGAGATGATGAAGATGACGCACTTGGACATGAAAGAAAGTAGGGGTGAGGATTTTTTTGGAAGTGGGATGTTTTTGTTTCTAACTTGTGGGATTAGTGATTCTACTCATGTGACACACCTGGATTGGAAAGAACGTAGGGGGTGAGGAATGATCACTCCGGGGGAGGAAGGATGAAGATGAGTGAAGGCTAACAGTGATGGGAAAGTACTCCTCCGGTCCTTAATATAAGACCCATTTAACTAATTTGATTAGATTAAGGAAGTTAGGTAGGTTAGTTAATTATAAGAAAAATGACACATTTTTCCTAAAACACCATAATCATCTTTCTTAATACCCCCTCTCCCTCTTCTACTTGATTATGGTTGAAGGAGTATCTATAAGGGTAATTTAGAGAAAATTGATAAATATGAGAAATGGGTCTTATATTTAGGACCAAAACCAACTCATGAATTGGGTCCTATATTAAGGACCGGAGGAGTATTATGTTAATGGACGAGGAAGAGGAAGAGGAAGGAAGCAGTAAATCAAAGAAAAAATTTATTTGTGTAAGGGCTTTTTTGTAATTTTAATTGTATTTGATTAAATATAAATAATAAATTTAATTTTATCATTCTTAATATTGTGCCAAACAATTTTATTGTAATCATAATTGCATTACCTTATATTCCCAATCATTCCATTCCATTATATGATCATTGATCCCATGAACCAAATGGGCCATATTTACTAATTTTCTTTCCTTTTTATTTTCTCTCATCTATCTAAGCAAGAGGGATGATAATATCTTCCTTTCAGTTTTTTCTTCTTTTTATTTTCTCTTTTCCCATTTTCTTTTCTCTCAACTTTTCTCCTCATCCAAACAGAGTATAAGTCTAAAAATCAAAACATTGTACTTGTCCCACATGTTAATAAACAGTAAGATTCCAAATCATGAATTCATAAATAATAGGGCTTAGATTTAAAAAAGGAATTAGTTTCTCATAATATGGTAAAATAATATTCAAATTCCTTTAGAAAAAATTAAAAATGCCAAACTATTTTTATTATTATTTTTTTCCAATTCAATGCTTGAAATAAGAAAATTTTATATATCTCGAGTAATGTTATTTTTGAAGCTTTGTCCACTGACTAATGTGTGGTTACGAAACATAAGATTCATAACAAAGTGTACAATTAAATGGTGTGATTCCCCCTGTATTCTCTATATACTATTCCCGATCTTTAATATAAGAACTAGTTGATTAATTTGAGTAGATTAAAGAAACTAATTAAGTTAGTTATTTGTAACAAATAAGTGTTGTCTTATTTAAAATATCTTCACTAATCAAGTGTATTATTAGAATTATCATTATTACAGGGACTATTCTAAAAAAATAGATAAATATGAGAGATAAATCGATTAAGATTTTATATTTAAGACCAAAATAAAAATAAAATAAAGTCTTATATTAAGAATCAGAGGTAATATTATTGTAAATTTAATTTTTTTTGGAGCCACATCTTCGTTACAGTTTAATGCGTACCCCTAACAAGACGATCCTTACGTGCTACGTACCTGCAAGGAGGGACGGAAAGTTCCAGTCCGATCACGGAAGGGCTTCATTAGCCATAAATTAAAACTCATCTTCTCCAATTCACGAAACAGATCGGAGGAGAAAAAACAAAGAAACACAAAAATGGGTGCAGACGAGGTACCGCTAGACGATAAAGCAAAGAGAATGAGAGAACTCCTGTCCAGTTTCTACTCTCCAGGCCCTCCAATGTCGCCCAACTCCAGAAACATCTCCAAATACGCTTCGCTCGACGACATTAACTCCACCTCCTTCGATCCTGGTCAATACATGAATCTCGTGGTAATTCTTCTTCAAAACGAATCACTATTTATTTGTTTGCAGTTTTGAGATAGACTTTAGTATGACATTCTTTCCTATAAGAGGCTGATGAAGAAAGCAAATAAGATCGCTGAGAAGTGCACTAGGCACATAACACCATGTTTATGTTGAAACTTGCTTTCGTTGTGGAAGACGAGTTTGAATTCGGAAAGCAAACGAACAATCGAATTTCTTATTGCGTCTGTCCATAAACTATGAAGGCACAAAAGTCGAATTTGGAAGGACTACTCCAGAGGCACGTTGACTTGGCCGCTGAAATAAAGAATCTTGACACTGATTTGCAAATGTTAGTCTACGAGAATTACAATAAATTTATCAGCGCTACCGATGCCATCAAGAGGTATATTTTTATTAGTTTCCTCCCTTGGGCGTTGTATTGTCAGCAAGCTTTTGTTACATCACATTACATTTTTCAGCTTGCTGGCTGTCACAATGCCATGAAAATACTCATACATTTTTCAGCTTGCTGGCTGTCACAATGCCATGAAAATACTCATAGAAGTCTCATCTGATCCTAATGTTCATCCTATTTTTTTCTAATAAGTATGCGCTTGAGAGAGTAGCGCATTCTTCTCCTTACCTTAAATCACGATAAAATACACCTGACTTACAGGATGAAAAGTAACATTTCAGGGATGGAGGCAAACATGGAACATCTTCTTGAGAAGGTAAGCTTCGCATAAATCTATCAAGTACATGTTGAAATTTATGTGTTCCATAATCTTTAAAAAAAGAAAAGAAAAGAAAAGAAAGTAATGATAAGTTTGATGGGAATTCACGTCCCCCTTGCCTCTTAATGCAGATATTATCTGTACAGTCAAGAAGTGACAGTGTTAACACTTCTCTATTTGAGAAGAGGGAGCATATTGAGAAACTGCATCTCACGTGCAATCTCCTTCGTAAGGTTCAGGTATTAAAACATTGATAAAATATCACGGCGGAACATCATTGATCAACCCAAAATTTTTGTTTTTGGTTGTCATCCAGTGATACAGTCGTGAGTTTTTCGCTTAATGGAGCCAACAGTGATGATGCTTGTTGTTTATGTTTTTGGCATCAATAATTTGCATTTTATCACGTAACATAAATCTAACTCTAGATTTTTTTGCAATATGATGCACGCACTTTTAATGCTTGTGAAAGAGCAGTTCATATATGATCTACCCGACAGACTTAGAAAGTGCATTAAATCAGAGACCTATGCAGATGCAGTCAGGTTTTACAACGGAGCAATGCCAATTTTTAAGGTTGTGTTTCGATGACAGCTTTTCAATCCGTTGGCTAGTTTTCTTTTGCGTTTAGCATATATATTACCTTTATATGCGATTAAGCATATTCTTTTTCACATTACGCAATGAATCTCTACCTCATGAGAGATAAATTTCTCATCTTGTTCTTTGTCAGGATTATGGGGACACATCATTTCAGGATTGTAGGAGAGCCTCTGAAGAAGCGATATCTATTATTGTGAAAAAATTGCAGGTATTCACCATCATAATCGACTGTTCATATCTGCTTGCTATTTCTTAAATATCTATGATTTGCAGTCCCCTTAAAAACTCTGAAATCATGCCGTCTAAATAGCTAGTATTCATAGTATATCTGAGAAGCTCGTTATGATGAGTTCACTACATTTTTTTCCAACCAGGGAAAGCTATTTTCAGACAGTGAGTCAATGCAAGCAAGAGCTGAAGCTGCAGTGCTCCTTAAGCAGTTGAATTTTCCAGTTTGTACTGATTTTCTTTATATCAGAATTACTCTTCGTATTACTTTTTTTTTTTTTATTCTTAAAGTGTAGTGTAAAAAGGCGAAAAATATTCTCCTATGAAATACATTTGTTGCCTGCATTTTCTAGACAGTTGGGGGATCATCCTTATCAAGGGTAGTAATATTAAATTGCATGAAGTGTTACTCTATATTACTCAAGGTCATATGATGATAAGTTTTTCTATCTACGGGCAGGTGTCAGACTTGAAGGTAAAGCTACTTGGTAAGTTGGAACAATCTCTTGCAGATATCGAGCTGAAACCTAAAGAAACAAATAATGCTTCTCTGGATCCTTCAGCCTTTTCCTCAGTTCATGAGGTAAGACAGACTTGTGTAAAATCATTTGCATCTGAGAACAGAAGTTAAAGAGAGATATAGACACCGTTTGTTTTCATTTCCTTATCATAGACTACCATTCATGAATTTGTGGAGGCAATTCGCGCTTTTCAAGTAATATTTCCTGATTCAGAAGAGCAATTGGTGATACTTGCTCGAGACCTGATTACCAAGTTAGCATCTTCATTCATCAAACTTACTGTCTCGATTTACTCTACGGAGATTATTCAACTGTGCTTTCCCCCCACCTTTTTAATTGTTTTAGGCACTTCCTAATTACTGAAGAATACGTGAAGAAACCAATTTGTGCAGCAGATTTGCTTGGGCTTCTTCGTAAGTCCCCCCCCCCCCCAAAAAAAATTTGTTCAGTTTTTTAAATGAATATGCATAACTATCTATCATTAATCACAAAAGACTATACAGACTACAATATGCAACAGAAACAAAGATAAAACTTCGATCAATATAAAGACTTTGACGCTACTTTGAGTATGAGTTAATTATGTTTGTGATCTTGCATTAGCTTTCATATGAATGGGTATATTTGTTATTTCTCATATTTTAAGTTTTATATTAACATAAAGACTTTTTTAAAAAAAAAATCATGGTAGGTTTTTAAACACCATTAATTTAAATTACATCTTTTATGCAAAATTTTATTAGATGACTGGGACAATGCCTTCAACAGAATACTTTGAAATCTCTATAGTTTACTTTCTAGTTTGAATGGGTTTTCCAGCAAGATTCTCAAAATTTATTGTTTACACCTTCTTTAATAATCTTGCAGTGATTTAGAAAAGTGTTATTTCAAACATGCGGAGATCTTCTCAAGTGAAATGATCATGGCACAGAGAAAAGCTTAATTAAGTTTTGTTTTTCAATAAAGGGAATCACTCTATTATTTCAATTGGTTCTTCTTAGTTCTTACATCTACCCATTAGCCATTTTCAAAGATATCAATTTGTGTGCTTGTTACTTAAACTCAGTGAAGTTTAATTTTGGATACTAATTTTCATGCTTTGATGATTTCTTTGATATATGTACCACGCGTAATTTGAACGCAGGAGTTATTTGGAACGATGTGCTCCAGATGGATGAAGTCCTACAGGAAGCAGATCTCTCTAACTATTCTCATGAGGTCCTACCGTTACTGGCGGAAATCCCATCTATGCCTATAATCCTTCCCCCTGCTTTTCTTCAGAACGTTATCCTTGTCAAGTTCATATCTCCAAGACGGATTTCAATGATTAACCCTTTATTTTCAGGCTGCCAAAGTTGCCATCAGGTTGTTTGTTAGCAGCACATTTGCTCATCTTCTGCAAGACGTCTCAGGTTACTTTCATAGCTATCTATGCAAAAGGCTTGTGAATTCTAGTTCTAGCATGAGGTTTTGAATACCAACACTTTGACAGCATAAGAAAAGCAAGAAAACGAACTTCTTGGAATCAATTCGTGATAGGGTGACTGTTTGTGAAATAATCTATGAAACAATATTGAAATCATTAAATCTAGATATATGTTCACGTAGTTTCCATTAGCGGAAAATTTTATTTAATTGAAAACCTTTTTTGATGACCGCAATCTGAGTTCTCTGTTTGGTAGATTCCCTCTTGAAGGTTCTGAAAAAAGATGGAGCAGAGTACTCTCTGGAAGATGCTTTAGATGCTAGCTCAAAAGCTGTTCTTGAAGGCAGTAGGAATATCTTACTTGTACGTTTTGCTATACCATCCCATCCTTAATATAAAAACTAGATAACTAATTCGAAAAAATTATGAAAATTAGTTAAGTTGGTTGTTTATAATAAATGTCTGTTGACTTCTTTAAACTACCGTCTATCTTCTTTAATCATGTATATTTGGAACCATACCTTAGTGGGAATCTCTTATAATCAATAGGTATATTTTGAAAAAAATGTGAGACAAAATGGATTGAAGTCTTATATATAGATCACTAATCCTCAAATAGCTTGGATTTATAGTAGTTTGCATTTATATCTATGTGTCCATAAAATTCCTCTTATAATTTATCTATCTGGGTTTCATATAATTCTCTTTCTTTCTTTCTTTTTCTTTTTGTGCTTTTTGGGATTGGATCATTCCAGGACTTCTGCAAAGTTCTAGATGACGACTTGGGCCTCTTAGCTAGACTAAGGGAGTTAATTGTTGATTTGGTTAAAGAAGGGTTTCTAGACTTTTTCAGGCAACTTGAGGATCAGTTCAATTTATTATCAGAAAGCAATAATTCTTCAGCCATTCAAGATCATAGTTTGACTCAGGGAGCTCAAGGTGACAAAGCTTCTGCTGGTCTTGTCCTGGTGCTAGCACAACTTTCTGCTTTTATCGAACAAACTGCTATTGAAAAAATTATGGTGGTAAAAATTCATCTGATGAGCTTAGATTAGATTCCTGAAAAAACATCAATATTTGGTTAATTTAACTTCCATAACCTCAGGAGCATGAAATACAAATCCGTGTATTTTTCAGGAATTAGCAGTTTCCTTTTCTCGTTGTGGTGCTAGAGGCCATGACCATGGACCTGCATTTATTGCCGGGGAAATTTGTCAAAAATTTCGGTCAGCTAGTGAAAAATTCCTGCACCTGGTATAGCTTCAATTTCGTAGTTTTATTCAATAGGCCTGCAATTTGCATGGATTACTTCTGAAAATTATCCTTGTTTGCTTGGTTGCAATTTTTATTTCCCATTAACAGAAGATGAGAAATTACGGATAGCCATTTGGATTTTACAGTGTCTGTAATAGTGAATTTGACTCTCAGGCAAAAAAAAAAAAAAAAGAATAGTGAATTTGACTCAAAATAATGTCGTGTCTTTGAGTGTTTTTAAATATAATGAATGCCACAGTTGTAGATGTCCAAGTTTAGATTTTAGGTTTTCATCCAAGTTTCAAACTGCAGGGGACGGAATAGAAGATGAAAGCACGGGGAGGAAAAGGAATGATTGAATGGGAAAGAAAAAATTACCTTCCAGTAAATGATATACATAAACACATATGAGAACTCACATATCCTTTGTTTTACTCTTTTCAGTACATAAATATGAGAACTCTAAGGATTTCACTTCTCTTGAAGAAGCGGTTTACCACGCCTAATTGGGTGAAGGTCAGTCTGATATATGTCTTTGTTTCAAATATAAATTCTAAGTGCTTAGTTTTTAAAATAGCTTGACAAAGTGTTTCTGTGCTTTGCACAGCATAAGGAGCCTAGAGAGGTTCATATGGTTGTGGATTTATTTCTTCAAGAGGTGGGTATATCTGTCTTTTTCTCAATTATATATTCCATGATTGATGTCTTTTCAGTCAAAGTATTTCCGAGAATTGTACTTGTCATTTGTGTCCTTTGTAATCATCTGGAACATATGAGCACAAACACTTAAATCTGTACTGGATATATATTTGACAGCAGCAACTAACAGAAGTTGAAGCAAAATAAATTATCTTTAATTTTACTTCTCTTGTATTCTTTTTCAGCTGGAATTTATCGACAATGAAGTGAAGCAGCTTTTCCCTCAAGGCAATCGCAAACATCGTGGGGCTGGGAGTAATGGAAGTAGTAGCTCATCAAGGAGCAATGCCTTGCGGGAGGATAAATTAATTCGGTCAAATACCCAGAGGGCAAGAAGCCAGCTTTTGGAAACACATCTGGCGAAACTATTTAAACAGAAAGTTGAAATTTTCTCTAAAGTAGAATATACACAGGTATTGATTGTGTAGTTGAGGTGATTTAAAATTTAACTAACAGGTTCCAAACCATCTCATACTGAGTTTGCTCACAAACTACAGGGATCCGTTATTACCACCATAGTTAAACTGTGCCTTAAAAGTCTGCAGGAATTTGTCCGACTCCAAACTTTTAACCGGAGTGGATTTCAGCAAATTCAGTTAGATACCCAGTTCTTAAGGACTCCTTTAAGAGAAGTTGTTGAAGATGAAGCTGCTATGGACTTCTTGCTTGATGAGGTTGGAAAAATAATCCTACACTAGATTCTAGTTTTTAGCGTAATTAAATGTCCTCTAGGTGCCCTCCATCTCTTTTTTTTCACATTGGGTAATTTTTTGTGAACTGATCACTCTATCCTCCTTTCTGTGTCTGCATCTATATCTCTTGTCATTTTGGGGGCGCAGGTTATTGTTGCTGCTGCAGAGCGGTGTCTTGATCCGATACCTCTGGAGCCTCCGATTTTGGACAAACTCATACAATCGAAGTTGGCAAAAAAAACTTGAGAGCTGAACTGAAATCCTGCCCCACACGTTTTTTATAGTAGGCGAGGCAGAGTTCAATTTTGATCGTTCTATATCTACTACGTATGCCATATTTCCCTTGGATTATTTTTTATGACATGGACAATATAAGGTTGAGGTCAAGAGAAGCAGCATTCGCAGCAGTTGTTCTGGTGGCATCCTCTCTGTTGGAATAATTCATTCATTCATTCATTAAACATTCTGGTCTTGGTCAGTAGTCATCTCATGTGCAACCGTTATTATATGGGTCTGCCACTTTTGTGCTATTGCTTACATCCGGTATCTGGTATTAGAGTAAAACTATAGCAATAACAGCAATTGACTATTTCATTCTATTCCTGTGGCAAAAACAGTATCCGGTACTTGATGATGCTCCGGGTCGGTTTCTTAGAGTGGCCGTGCTTCAACATCTTTTTTATTCCTGTGGCACAGTGTGGAGAAAAAAATAATAATAAGCACAGTGATATCCTGAGATGTGAGCGAAGCTATAAAATGAGTGAAGTATAAGGACATTCTGTCCTCCCATTTTATTATATGCTATGTACTTAAATAACCAATTTTAAAATATTAAAAAATTTATTTAAGTTAATTATTTGTCACAAATTTGTGTTGGTTTTTCTAAACTATCATTTTCAATTATATATATTGAATAGGAGCCTTTACAATTAACAAGGATATTTTCAAAAAAGATAAAAGACAAAGTGAACTAAGATCTCATACTTAAAATTAAATCTAACCATCAACTAGTTTTTATATTAAAGACTGGAAGAAGTATTATTGAGCTTAATTTATTCTTTGTAAAAAATTTTACATCAAATTTGAATTTACTTAGACATTCTAAGAATATTGCTTTTGAATGCCGATCTATTAGCTCTCACATACTGCAGTCGGAGTCAGTCCCATTTTCAGCTTTCACACATTACAAGCTTTCAACAATGTCTTTTCCCCCCCAATGTCCTAAGCAAAACAAATTTCGATAGGATAATACGGTTTCCCAATGTACTAGGACCCTGGTGCAGAAAGATGTTATGGCCTTGCAATCCAATTGGTTCCCCCCCCCCCCCCCCAAAAAGGTTTTGTCTTCTCCGGTACCCAAAAAAGGGGTTTTGACAGGATAGCCTAACAATATCTCCCTCAAATAGGCTTGCCATCAGCATTTTTTTCTGAAAAATTTAACCAATAACTTTGATAACATGTAACTCTTGTGACTGCGGCTCAAGAATAACAAAGATGATAATTGACGAAGTTTTGTTCTGAAAAAAACCCTTCAGGTCAAATAAAATTCTAACCGAAAAATTGACTCAGGCTCTATTTAAGATTAGGTAAAAGTTAGATTGGATAATGTGACTTATGTTTGAATTGATTTTTATGAAAGTTAGTTTGTAAACTAGAAAAATTGTTTAGATTATGGTTGGATAACTAAGTTTAGTTTGTAGAGCAACTAAAATAGGTATAAATTTTATTAAATAATTAAAAATATGAATTTAAAAAATATAATAATTTTAAATTATCATAATAGCAAAAACTTATATTTAATGAATATAATATATTTAAATTAGAAATACTGTAAAATTTTTAAATCAAATAATACTACCTAACTGTGAAATTTCACATTCAAATTTTGCATGGATATCAAGTCCAATCTCATTTTAAGGGGTTGCCTTTTAAAAAGAAAGCAAAATGCATGTTATATAATTAGATAACACACCGATAGGCAGGGGCATAAAGGGTAAAAACAAAAGTAAAAACGCACACAGCCCAAAAACACGATTAATAGGCACCTACAAGCTACTTTTGCGATTTTGCCTTCTTATTTAGTTATTTTTTTGGCAGATTGTGACCCATAAATCAAATATCCTAAAAACCTATCCAAACATCCCATAACATGTGCAACGTACTTTGAAGTTATAAAAGCTGCCTAGCCACTATTGAAACGTGGATTCAAATAGGCACCAAGTTTTTGTAACATCTTTAAAATGCACCAAATTCACAAACAAATCAGACAAAGTAAAATGGAAGAGATTCACAAAATCACAGATTCTCAAGATCAAAAATCATTTACAGAAGCTTTTAAAATCCAGATTCCTATGCTTCCACGACTAACCTCAGGTTACTTATAAAAGGGCAACAATTGTGTAAACATATATATATATATGTATGTATGTATATTAAAAAAAAAACAAGGTTATTACTACCTCCGATCCTTAATATAAGACCCTGTTTGACTTTTATTTTGGTCGTAAATATAACACCTCAATCTACTTTGTCTCTCATATTTATACATTTTATTCCAAAGTAACCCTTTTAACAATGATAGTTCTAGTCAATACACTTGATTAGTAAGGATATTTTAGGAAAAACAACACTTATTGAGGACAAATAACTAATTCAACTTATTTTCTTAATCTCCTCAAATTAGTCAGTTGGCTCTTATAATTAGGACCGGAGGTAGTATTAATAAGCAATTACATTTGACCCTTTTTGGTATCCTAAACTAACACGTAAGAAACTTATCCTTCAACGATAACCTACTCTTGCATCCACCATCCACAAATTCATGAAGTTCAACGGATTCCAAACATTCATCTAAGCATACATCTACAACAAACATCATGGTAGTATAAGATATGTACCAAAGGAAAATAAATATGGCAACGCTTCTCCACAACCAACCCAATTTTCCGATCATTGCAAAATAATCAACATCACAAATTTAATCCATATGACATTTAAACGGGTTCCACAGTCGTCAGAAGTCACAGTGAAAATCCTAATGCAGTAACCTTTTTTTTTGAAAAAATTACAATGAGATTCTAAAAAAAATTACTGGTAAGTTCTGATGATAAGTGAGTAGTTATCATTTATTACTCCTTCGGTCCTTAATATATGACCTAATTGTTGAGTTGGTTTTGGTCATAAATATAAGACTCATTTATCATATTTATCAATGTTCTCTAAATTATCCCTATGGATACACTCTCAACCATAATCAAGGAGAAGAGGGAGATTGGGTATTAAGAAAGATGATTATGGTGTTTTAGCAAAAATGTGTCACTTTTCTTATAATTAATTAACTTACCTAACTTTCTTAATTTAATCAAATTAGTTAAATGGATTTTATATTAATCAGAAGAGTACTATGAAACTTGTTATTACAAGTTATTCTTTTGTTATTGAGATTTTTTGATAATTATATTCTTTGTTTGAGGCTTTATTGTAATTCTCCTTAACTTTTTACTCCGTTTTAGAAACCAAATTGTTTGAATCATTTGATGGTCATGGACGGCTTCAAACAATGTCCAGGCAACATCCTTCAACTAAGCTCTTCTTGTTGCATTATTGAAAGAAACAATCTTGGCACCATGAACAAAGACGAATGTATCTTAGACTATACTAAATCATCAACGCTATATTGTAAAGTAATAAAATTTAACCAGCACACTTCCAATAATAAGTCGGTGTCTTCACAAGAATTTTCTTTAGTTTTTTTATTAAAAAGGCCAAACTATTTTTATTAGTTTTTTTTCCAATTCGACAGTTGAAATAAGAATTTTCTAGATATTTTTATATATGCAGTGGTTTTTTGAGGGCACCGTTTTTTTTTTGGGGGGGGGGTGTTAATGATTGGAGAGGTGGGAGGCATGTGAGTGTGAAATAAAAGAAGACCATATGCCCTACACAAAGGGAGGTGTTTGGTCAATTCCAAGAAAGCTTTTGTTCATTCGACATGAAAACTTAACTCTTCACTTTAGGGAACATGTCCTCCTTCTAAGCAATCTCTCTCTCCAGCTTCCTCTTACTCTAATCCCATGTGTTCCAACTATCTTGTAATTATTTGAGTCTGATTCGTCTTTAACATAAAAACTAAATAACTAACTTAAAAAATTAAAAAAAAATAGTGAAATTGGTTACGTGTAACAAATATGTGTTGATTTCTCTAAAGTACCATATTTAATCATGTACATTAAAACTACTTCCTTACAAAGACTTCTTATAAGTTATAATCAATAAGATATTTTGAAAAAAACATAATAGATTTGAGAGACAAAATTTATTGAGGTTTTATATTTAGAATCAAATTCAATTTTTCAACTAGTTATTATATTTAGAATTGAAGATAGTATAAAAATTTAATTTAGATATTTGCTTTTAGTTTAGATATAGGATCCTAACTCACAGTATTGGTTTCTCAGGATATTTCCTTTAATCATTTGTAAAGAAAATTACCTCATATTATAAAAAAAAAAAACCCCATGTGCAATTTACAGGGATAATTTGAAAAAACAAAATGAATTTAAATCTTACAATTAAAACCAAGACAAACCCTTCCCAATTAGCTTTTATCTTTAGGACTGAAGAAAGTGTTTACCAACAAAAATATCACATCAATATTGTAATTAAAATCCACAAAACATTATTTGATATAATTTGAATATTTTGTTATCACACAAAGTCATTATACATTTAGAAAATATTAGTAAAAAGCTAGGGTAAGATTTTTTTTTCCCTGGGTCAAAAAAAGTGAGAATACAATGGGAGCTATTTTTAAATGACTCTTACGTTAAATTATCTGGCATATTTGTTGGACCAAAATGTGACGTAATTAAGATATTGATATTGACATTGTCAAGAAATTTCAAAACACATGGTGGAGTAGTTTGTAATGTTAGTGACATAATGTCTCCCATTGCATAGGGAATTAAACAGTTATGTCTGCTAAAATTTAATAGATATATAAGTATTGAAATTTAAAAGATATTTTGTTTAATTAATAAATTACAAAAAGGTAAGCCTATTAAATTTAAAATAAAAAACGACTGGCAAAAAAAATAAATTGTTAAATATATATGGTGTATCCAGTAAAAATTACATCCAAAAAATAAAATCAGGCTAAAATTGTACCTAATCTTGTTTGCCTTTTTTTTTTTTCCCCATCCAACATCTTTATTTAACATTATTATTAAACTCTCGCACAAGGTTTTTTTTTTGTTTTTTGAGCAAAAACTTTCGTACAAGGTTACTCAAACTTTCGTACAGGTAAAGAATCGCGTGATGCTAAGTCATTAAATTATTCTAGTTATTATTTCTGATTCTTAATATAAGATTTAATTAATTAATTTAAAAATATTAAGAAAATTATTAAATTACTTTAAAGTATTTATATTTATTAATTTTTGAAAACTAATTTGCTTCATTTATAATT